GGGGGACGCCTCCGAAGCGTCTCTCGCTCGCCCCAACCCCTATGCGCGGCGTGCCCTTCCCTTCTCCCAGGCTGCACCCTAATATAAATATTATTACACTTTGATGGGGTTACGGTGACACTAGGGCCCCGCAGAGACATCCCGAGTGAATGCCACCCCCTCCTCCCGCTCGCTTTTCCGCGCTCGCTTTTTCATTAGGCTTGAATTCCGCGCGCGGCGCGTGCCGCACACGACAATGTTCTTAAAGGCTTAAGCCCTTTCCTCGTCCCTTCCTCTTCCTCCTCGTCGATCAACCCTTTGTGTTGCATCACATGGTATATGATATACCGATATGAATCTTCTCTCGGTGTTTTTCTCTCGGATGTATCTTGAGAGAAGGATGAAGAGGATAAACGACGATATTATAGTCTAGACAGTCGAGCGAAGATGGGTTCATAAAGAATTGACATTTGCATCCCCTTTCCTTTCTCCGATCACACGTCACGAAGACTTGAAACTCTTTCTTCTTATTGAATTCATTTTTTCCTTTATTCATTATGATGTTCACTTTATTTAGTGGCATTTTGATGTAAAAGAAAGGCATTAAATCTTTTAAAATCTATTTTAAATAAAAACATATAAGAAATAAAAGAGACGTTGCGTTCATATAATTATACAAATATCCAGACAAGCTTCTTTAACCGAAAACCAAACTGAAACAAAAATCGACATGGCATCAAGTGTAACACGTGATATTCTTCGGTAACAATGACATCTTTAATAACCGGTTCAACAACATTACAGTGTCATAGGATTTCAATTACATACGCATTTCGAATTACTTGGTTTTTTTCATCATTTCAAATAAATATACATACATACATGTGTCTTTGCGTATATGTATAGAATCGCGAGTGTGTATGTCCCTATCGTTTTATGTACCTGTGTGTCGTGTATATACATGTGTATATACGTAATGTATGTATGTACTTCCTTATGCCGTGTAAGTGTGTGTGTGTGTGTGTGTGTGTGTGTGTGTGTGTGTGTGTGTATGCGCGCAAAGTGCGGATGTATTGCAGTTAAGTATGCTACGCTTACGGATAATCTCGGAATGCGCGATCGCTGCTTCATCGCACACAGATATAATACGCATTATGCACGGATAATTAGGATACATATAATCCTGGTGACCACTTCTACTCGTTCCATCTCTCCTATCGTTTCCTACGTTCGCGTATTGCGACGTTTCTTTCGTAACGGACTGCTCCCGTCGCCGTCCTCCTTCTCGCAACACTTGGGAATTGGACTCGGTTTCGAGGTGAGAGAAAAATAACGTTGGGAAACTAGCGTTCGTGTTTGCACTCTAAACGTCATTCCCGATAGTGCCGGGGCAGCAAGGTTTCGATATACAGGATGCACCTTGCACCTTTTCGTTAGTCTTGCACGACGCGTGTTCACCGAGAGAGAGAGCTGTTTAACTCTCGTTTAGGAATCTAATATAAACTCAACTCTCGAAAACTCAAACAAGGTTTTCCTTAATTCGGCATTTGCAGTTTTTTTTTTTCAAACACGGGAGAAGCAACGAATTGTCCACGAATTATCTGATAATTAATCCTACAGATTAGCGAAAGGTTTCTACAGATTATGTAGAAGTTAGGAATTTTCTATACACAATAGACAAAATTTCCGCCATTCTCGCTCCGACTTAATAATTACAACAAATGATACAGCGTCATATAATTATTGAAACTTAACAAAATTTGTATGTGTACGATAACAATAAGTTTTTTGTTTTATATTATTTAATAGCCGAGGATCTCAAGAGCAAAATAATTTCCTAGAAACAAAATAATTTTTTTTCAACATAAAGTTTGTTGATCGATACAAAAGTACGTTATTATATTTTTAAAGAAGTTACTCACGTGACTATTTTTTAGGAACACGAGAGATGCATCTGTTATCGTCAAACTTCATTCTTATTTAAAGAGAAATTCAGTTTGTTTTAGAAGAATCTGAAGTTTTCTATTTCGCTTTTAAGATCCTCGGGTCCTATTCTTACGAATGTCAGGACAATAACACCTTTGCCCAGCACTGGTCATTAGTCCCGACGCAGAAGAAAAAGGATTTTATACTCACGTACACACCGTCGCGTTCACAACACTCACAAATGATATAATACAAGTAGGCAAGATATACCGAGTACTCCGGAATTACCGCCAGATAGATATTTAAGATTTTGAAACGAAATGAACGACAATGTTTTCAATTATAAGCAGTTAAAAATTTTTAGCAAATTTTGAGCAAAGTATTTTAAAATAAGCTACGTAAAGACAGATAACGAAATCAAGTTTTATGCGAATATTTTATTTTAACAGAATTTTGATTTGAGTTTTTCATTAAAATAATAAAAATAAAAAGGAAAGAAGTGGCGGTAGTGTCAGGACACTCAGTACGCGACGTATCTGGACGAAAGAAAAGCTTGTTTTCTTTCCCTTTCGTGCATAATTTATATTTACAAGAGAGAAAAAGCTACGAATATATATGATTTTGTATACGATATATATATATATATATATATATATATATATATATACACACACATATACGTTTAATGTGTATGTATAACCGTAGTGCAACTGACGCAACGTCGTTGATCTCTTGCTGATAATCATCGCATGATCAACTTTAACATTGTAGCTCGACTTCATTGATTTTGAGCCAAAACAATAAGAAATGAATGTACATGATACAAATGTAAATTCTTAAAACAATAAATGAAAGAAAGAAATTTTTGTAAAAATAAAAGTAACTGAGAATGTATAGGATTTAATTACAAAATACGCAATCATTTTAATCTACAGATTTAAGCTAAACATTTAGTAGTTAAAAATTCAAGAGCACAAACTTTATTTAGTTAGTCTTGAGATCTTGTTGTGCTAATCCGCGCTCGATTTATTCGATAAAATCGCGACGATAACTATCAACAAGCCAGACGTTTGCCGTTACGATAAAATTCCTAACTTTAGAGGCCAGCTCAGCTAGAAACGAAATGTCATTGCGGAGATAAAAACGCTCTTCTCTTTCTCGGCTATGAAACAAAAACGCGTAGCCTACGTTTAGGTACATATGTATAGCGATCTAATAGAGAATGTGTCTACATTACGTTAGGTCCGGGTTACTTGCAAGGACCTTTCTTTTACGGGGAGAGCTTTACAGTTAAGTTCGCTCGTACTATGAGACAACGGGGATTAAAAACTGCGAAGTTCAGGCACTGTTAACTCAAAGGACTCGCGAATCGATCCTCGAGGATCCGCGCGACGACGGGCGAGTGATCCTGAAGTCCGATCGACGCGAGCGAAGCGGATTTCCTCCTGACGCTCGAGGAATCCTTCTTTTCGCGCCCAACACGCCGGCGACAATCACCGTGCCGGTATAGTGTGTAGTGCTAGTTAATTAACAATTTATTTATTTGCTTTTCGCGATGCTTCTTAGTATTGACGAGTAGGTACGAATGTGTGCTGTGCCCTCGGTCGTAAGACTTGGCGGATATATCGACGGTAAAAATCGTAAAAGTTACTTTTCACTGTATTTAAATCCCCTTCGAAATAATCCAAGAAAGAAATTTTTGTTTTTACGATCTTTTCTTATATTCATTTTCAAGAAATCAAGAAATTAATAATGTTACACGTTGCCGCAAATAGCAGTTCGGGCAATACAAATAGTTGAAATGAGATTATGTCTCATTCGTATGCAAGACAAAGTAAATTATATAATCCGAATTAAATTAAAGTGCATCTTGCAATGATAATAGCTCGCGATAACCGCGAAACCTTGCGTCCAAGTCACTCCGACACATAATGAAATTTTTTGATATATTTACATACATATATATATAGAAATTATACGTGCCTAGATATGTCTAGATATGACACGCGACTTGCCGCGTGAACTAAATCCCCACGACAAGGTTCAAACAAAATATATCTCTACAATTAGAAAAGTAATCTCATAAAAATACAGATATGTTTACTTTAACGCGCTCGCGCTTTGGTACTGGTATTGCTCCATTATTGCGGCAAAGTACTCGATCAGAAAGGAAATGCGTGCGATAAAAGCAAAAAAAGAAATTAGGAAAGAATATCTTCTTGAGATATTAAATGTAAGAATTATTAAAACTACGAATAATTTATCAATTCTCTAATTATTTAATGAAATAAATTTTTGTTTTAATTTTCAACATTAATAATAATGTCTGTTTCATTGGCAAAAGTAATATTGCAAGAACATTATTTTCATATTCTGTTAATATAATAAAGTTAATTTTCTTTTCTATATTTTTTTAAAGATAAGAAAAATAATCATGAAGCAATATAAAACCAGCTCGTAGATACTGAAAATAACCTGGAAAAATAAAAAATCTATAATAAAACGGCTTTAATTATTTCCTGCCATTCTTTATTTACGTTTATAATAGTTATTTCCATTATTGGAAAAGTTTTTATTTTAACAATGAAATACATAACAAATAACGATTTTAGAATATACGCGCTCGCAAAAATGCCAGATTTATTTTATATCATCGCAAACAATTTTCGTATAATCTAAGTTTTTATCATTAATATAACGTCATCATCATTGAATATAACATATCGTGAATATAACGTTAATAGTATTTTAATATTTGAATATAACGTAATAGTATTTTTTTTTAACGAAATTCACTTAAAGGTCGAAACAGGAGTAAGAGTACTTTGCCAATACAGAGCGATTCGTGATTCGAGGGCATCGACCGCCCTCGTCACAACCCCTCTATACAATCGCCTACTTAAATTAAAGCCTTACTTTCTAATATTTCTGACGCCTTAATTAGTGATATGGTATTTCCGTTCAGCAATATAGAACGATTCTGAACAAAAGTATAAAAACTTAAAACTTGCCCATCGGCAATCCGCGAGCGAAGGTCCTTGCTGACGGGAAGCCTTCGTCGCGGCCATGATTCCTTCCTCATTCCTTCTATCCTCTTTACACTTCTCGCGTTAGAACTTCTCGCATCTCAAATAGAGGATGCTGTCTTTCCTCTTTCTTCCGTAGCACCGACACATTCCCCTTTCTTCTCACTCTAATTTTATTTCGATGTTGCGACTATTTAGTCTCCTTGAGGTCCTTATTTCCGACGAAGACGGCCATTGCGCGTGCTTACCCACGGACCGTTTTCCTTCCACTTCTCTCGTCTTACATTTTCTACATCGCGTATCCCTCTTTCGCCTCTTTCCTCGCGATTCGTATTTTATTTAGTTACGCGCGGAACCTCGAGCGGATACTAGGACCGTCAAGATTCATCGTTCCTGGATATGAAGCAACCGCGAGAGCCCCGAGGGAATCACTTTGGAAGTCGTTGCCTCTGCCATCCCCGATAAACACCGACGATACTCCAAGTACGATCGAGATTCGGCGGGACTTTGGAACGATCGGTGATCCTCCTTCTGATCGAGCGTCCCGATCGCCGTCGCCGCCGGAAATCCCGCCGAGCCGCCGTGCCCCGCGACGACGTCGATTCTCTCTTGCCGATATAAGTGGAAGCCTGTCACGAAGACTCTCGAACCACTCTCGAGCGAAGGGGACGCGCGCTCGCCTCCCGATCGGCCGCGATCGGTTAGATCGCTACGGTAACACTTGGCGACGACCTTCGTTCTAGTACATTCCTTGCCTGAAGGGGTTACTGTCTCCAGCCGGCCGCTGATCAGTCGCATCCGGTCTCCTGAAGGGATTCACATCGACTCCCTGGGTACCCCGTTGTTCTTGATGCTCGGGCACGTAATTCCTCTGCTGGCCGTAGTCACCGGGTTGACCGTAGCTGGCCGGTTGATTGTAGACCGGCGGTTGCTCATGAACGGACTGGTTGTAACCGATCGTATTTTGCGCCCCGTAATCGACGCGCTGATCGTAGCCGACTTGTCCTACCGTCTGGTAGTTCTGATCGTAGCCCTGGTCGACGTTCGTCTCCATACGCGTCTGATTCAAGTGGTTGCCGATCTCGCCAGAGATCGGTCGCTGTTCCTGTAGCACGTACGTCTGGTACTCCTTGTCGGGCGGATCTTGCATCAGTATGTTCGCCTCATCCTGGAACGGCTTGAAGTCGTAGATGTGACGCAGATAATAAAGAACCGGCGCATAAAGCAAATTCGAAAAGGCGATGCCGATGTTCAGGGCGGTAAAGCCGATCGCCTCGACGACACCTCCGGCTATGATCGGACCCACCGCGTACGCTACGCTGTACGAGATGTCGGCGATCGCGTAGATGCTGCCGTACACCGACACGTACCTAACGTCCACCAGGTAGCCCAGCGTGGGCAGCAGCGCGGTGTCGATGAGCGCGATACCGAAGCAGATGCCGCACAGCGGTATCATCAGCACCTTGTACGAGTTGGAAAATGGTATGATGAAGCAGCAGAGACCTTCGAGAGCGAGACCACCCGCCGCCATTAGCCACTGATATTGCGGATACTGCTTGGCCATCTTCACAGTGACTATCACGCCAATTACATGCGGGAAAAAGGCCGGCAGCCAGATCATACCGATCTTCCAGTTGTCGTGCGTCATCGTGTCTTCCATCCACAGAGAGATCGTCGGCTCGAGAAAAGCGAGCGCAACGTTAGACATCATCAAGGCGCCCGCGCATACAGCGATATACGGATCCATGAGCAGTCGCCAGATCGGTATTGTCGATTTGGGTTCATGGTGACGATCGCGCATCTGCTCCTTAATCGGTTTCATCACCAGCAATAACATGAAGCCGTCCGCCAGACTGACGAACGCCAATATCAGAAATGGCACCTCCTTGCCGGCAAATTGGTAAAGAGCACCTCCGAACGGCGGTGCGACCAGACAGCCAAAACTGATAAACGCCAAAGCGATGCCGAGCGCCTTCGAGCGTTCGTTCTCTTCCGTGAAGCGATCGGCGATCATAGCGAGGCCGGCGGTATCGGCGAATGCGGAACCAACGCCCTGCAAACTCCTCGCGAAGAACAGCACGCTGTAGCTCTTGCCGCATGCGAACACGCTGGTCGAGAGGAACATGATGCAGAGACCGATCATCATGGGGATGTCGTAGCCTATCCGATCGATCAGCGCGCCGGAAAACGGATTCACCATCAGTTGCACAATCGCCTTTGACGCGAATAACACCCCCGTGGCGGAGTCCTGGCCGTGATGGTCTCGCGGACTGGTGTCGTTGCCCGTTTCCTCGATATCTCCGAACGCGCCAACGTACTTGAGATAATCCGGTATGATCGGTACTATCACCATGTACAGCATGTTGTCCAGCAGTAGCGCCACGGAGACGATGATCAGGATCAGCTTACGCTGAGCCTTGGGCTCCTGCAGCTTTGTCCAGACAATCTCCTTGAGCTCGCCGAACTCCATGTTGAGTATCGGTATCGTCGTCATGGTTCCTAGGTAATTGCCCGCGGTGCGACCGGTGTCTTCCGGATTGTTTGTGTGTGTCTTAGTGGAAGGGACTAACCGCGGTCACAACCAGTCGTGCGACCTCGGGAAGCGACCGTGACGAGGAGATCGTCGCGATTGGGGCGGCGCGCATCAGGCCGGGCCGGGGGTAAACCTACAACAGATCACCGATTTGGCAACGATTAGCTCGCGGAAACAGACTGACTTCACGTGCGCGCACGTGTACGCGCTGCAACACGCTTCCGCGCTTCTACGCGACGGCAAACCGTTTTTCACGAGAACGCGAAATCGGAGAAGCGACTCGGGACTGAAAAAGAGTTACCGAAGAGAAGATAGGGGAGCCCTGACCCGGCCTGTGGTCAGCGCGAAATATCCATCCATTCATCCATCCCCATCAATCCCCCAACTCAATCCAACTTCGTACCCCGCCGATGTGAACTTCCCGTTTTGTGTGCGGGAAGGAAGCGCATTGCGAAAGCTCACGTTCACATTTGGCTCGGTTTTTCTTCTGGAGTTGTTCTCCCCTCGTCCGCGTGAAAGAGAACACGATACCGGATGGAGGCTCCCCCACGGTAAGACGTCACGAGATCTACTCTCTACCTGAGCGAGCCTTGTTGTATCGCGTATCGTGTTACGACGACGATAAAAACAACACGAAAAGAAGCGTCGGGAAAACAAGAGGCGAGAATCGATGTAGCGTGCTAGACGTTGGCGAGGTTGTAGCTAATCACTTCGCGGATGTTACTGCCAAAGGGAATAGTCTGATAATAAAAGTCTGCTGGCAAAATTGTTTTTTTATCAAGTTGTTGATCGTTGAAATAATGACCAATTACGCGAAATGAAGAGTAAATTGTATTATAAGGTTATTTTTACTGAGAAATAAAAAATAAATATTGAATAAGTTGATTAAAGATAATTATGTTCAAAAATTATTTAAATTTGCGTAATTCTACTCATCTTTATTTCAAGTCTAAAGAAATTTTAATACCTAAAGTACAGTTTATGAAAAAAAGAATTGCATTAAGAAATTTCTTTTCAAATACTATTTGCAAATCTTTTTGTATTTACCCTCTAGTTACTCACTTTTCATATTTCTTTTGAATCGTCAGAAAGAATAGCACGATGAAAAATGGCGATTTCAAATTATATTTTAATAGTGCAGTGAAATAATGGGTGAAATACTTGTCAAAAAATTTGAGGATGACAAAAAAATTAAAGTAATATTTCGCGAGCTAATGGAAAAGGTTAATAAGTGTAATTAATGAAAAACCGACTTATCAACTTTTTTCCGATACGTTTACAATCTGTATTAACAATATACCTGATCTAATTTCTTTCCCTTCGAGAACCGAAAGCTTTGTTTAGCGGTATATCGAAAGATCTCTCTATATTTCCATTATTCATTCTATTGTTATCCTGATTTATCAGAAACTTTTCATGATGGCAGAAGGATGCGTACTTCGCTTTATCATAAATTACTATAATAAAACGCGGACTAGAGTTTACGTCGAGATGTCAGGCGACCGTCCGAACGACGCGATGGCTCCTCGCGTATTCTTCGCGTATTTGCGAAATGGCGTCTATCAATTGTCGTCATCACCGTGGCTCTTGTTAATGGCGCAACGCGATCGATCGACGAGGCTCCACTACGGCAACGAGCCTCCCCGAAGTATGAAAAAGATTGCGCGTGGAAAAAGCGCTTCGCCGACTCACCGGAATTGCTGGCGAACTTCTGCCTGAGGGAGTTGGCGAGGCGTTGGGGGCCCGCCAAGGTCGGAAGTCCGGCGAGCAAGCCGCTCAAAGTTGAGGCGACGTCCGATCCGTCTTCGTCCTTCGAGTCATTCACCGACTCCTTGGCTCCTCGTGTCCCCGGGCCCTCCACCTTTTCAGCCGAATTCACAATCGAGTCTGCAATTGCGATAACATTTCCAAATCGGTTAAAATTTGCAGATCGTCGAGAAAAACAATAATAAAGTCGTTTATTAATGAGGAAATAAATACGAGTGTAATTCCAGACTTGTGCAGGAAGTAACATCATCCTCGGCGAATTTACGACATTTTCGATTTAAATCAACGTAATTAAACCAAATAAAGAGAAAAAAATTAGTAGAAAAGGAAAAATGATTTAGTAACGTTTTTATCACTGCGTTTAAATAGCTTTTTTTTATCATAAGAATTGAATAGATTTATTATAGATTAGAATAGATTTGAATAATAGAGAGAGAGAGAGAGAGAGAGAGAGAGAGAGAGAGAGAGAGAGAGAGAGTATATT